ATCCATTCGCTTTGCCCAAGGGGGTCAGGCATAGCGGATGGTTTGTCTTCTTTATGTTTTAAAATGACATGTTTTCTAATTTTTAATGTTCATGTTTTCTAATTTTTTTTTATTTTATTTCAAAGTTAAATCCTTTTCCTTCTATTTTATTTCAAAGTTAAATCCTTTAAGAGATTTATAAGAATAAAATGCTTTCTAAGCTCAATTTTAATTGTCATTTTTTCTTCTCAACCTTAACATGTCCCTTGCCCTACACATAAATGTAGTGTGTACGCACACGTGTTGCATTACAATAATAAATTATTGTACTTGAAGATTACATTTCACAGATCCATTACAAAAAATTATAGCTTATTTGTACAATTAATAAATTAGTTTTACGTGTAAAACAAATAATGACGTGCAATTTAAAATATTTTCGTTATGTTTTATTTTCATTATACAATACAAAAAGATGCACTTTTATATATATTTTATATTATATATTATATAATTTTCTAGCTTTACAGTAAGTTTATGTTAATCATTTGTAGCTCATTCATCGTATTTATTGATAAGTCAGTCAAAGAAAAAGAAAATTTTGACACGACGATTGGTATGCTATGTATTCCGAATAAATAAAGCAAACGTGATTTATGTACTCGCGATGTTTCCGGTGTATTATCTAACGTGCCGATTGCGCCAGTGAGCACGTAAAGTTGCTGTTCAGTCTCGACGGTGCACTTAATTAATTCCGTATAAAATAATTCTTAACGTAACGAGGAAATACTAAAAGTAACTAGTTAGAAGGTAGCGGTCAATTATGGGCTATATGTCTTGAGGTTACCGAGGGCCCAATGCTGTAACTATCGCATTACTTGCATCAGGCAACGACGTGGTGCGTAACGATGCAATATATGTTATATATAGAATAAATAAATTTTATACGTTTAGATAAGCATAAAAGCATTTTAATATTATATTTCTTTTGACTACGAACATTCACAAATCGCGAATTCTCATAGATTTAATTGTTTAATGCTTTTTCAGTAAATATTTTATTTAAAAAAAAATAAAATGCATTTCTGTATAACTTTTACAAAAAACATTAAATTTATAATTCCTAATTTTATAATAATAAAAGTTCTATTTTAACACACAGCACAAACTTTTTGTTCCAAATAACAATTTTTATTTTCTAAATTATAATATTAACATATTAATATAATTCTTATAAATTATATAGTTATAACATTTTAATTTATATTTTAAGACAAAAATAAATTTATTATAGAAACTATCTTAAGCTTAAATTATTTAAAAATTAATTGATGATTATAATTTTGTGTTAGAGAGATTCAGAAACATTTAGCAAGTTTTATGATCCTATCATCGCGTGCTACGAGTCAAAATTAATTAGGACGTGAAATAATTCTTAGAGCAATGAGGAAGCAGTAAAAAGCAACCACTAGTATCGACGTAGTCATGCAAACGTAGTAATGTCGATGACGTAACGAGTGCAGTTGACCTGAGTTATCAATAAATGTGAAATGATAGTGTGTAGTTAATTTATATAATAAAAGAAAGGAAAGGAAGGTTTTATGAATAGCTTTGTCTTATTAACGGATGCGCCGGGTCGGTATATCACCATTGTGATTATGATTCTAAAATACTATAATTTCACGCTAAGATGCGCACCCACGCGATTTTCAGTACATTCACATGACAATCGCAATTTTTATGTTTCATTCATTAGCTGGCTAGATATATTGATACGTCGGTTAATGAGCGGCAATTACCGAATATGCAACGTCGATTATCGCGATCGTCGGGCAAGGTCAGCAATTAGCTGTACTGCAGAAGTCTACAGTATTCACGTTATTATCAGATTCTCAGTATATTACTCATATAATAATTGGAAAAGTATATTAATATATGAATATAATAAGCTTTTATAACTGTAAAAAAATTGTAATTTCTTTAACAAGCTTAATAAAATTACAAATATAGTCGAGATAATAAAATTCAAATACATTAATTATGAAAAAGTCGATACACTTTTTATAATATTATATTATATCTAATCTGAGTTAATTTTAATCATTTCTATAGGTCGTCACTGTTCCTATTTAATATATATTAATAATAATTTAATTAAAACAATGAAATTAAACAGTTTAACTTAAGAAAATGTATTAAATTTAATTCAAATTTTTATTTATTATTTACTAAGTGCGTACGTTAATATGGACGTTATTTGTTTTGAAACTAACCACAGAAATAGATTAATTTAAGAAATTGAAAATAATTAAGAAATCAGGTTTTTTGATATCTAACAGTGTAATGACGTTAAGACAACATAATGTGTGTTTTTCCCGTTATATATTTATGCGAAGAAATCCTCCAACGACTCAATCCGCGCGTGTCAATCAAAAGTTAGCTACAATGTACAGTCCAAGTACAGCGTTAGCGTCAATGTACAAGTAAAGATGGTCTCGACCTGGGTCTCGGTTTAACGTACGGTTTCCTGATTTTCGTGGCAATTTACCGCAATTTGTCGCCCACGCGCGCACCAAATGCAAAGCGCACGTAGGTCGTATAATGCAGGAGCGCGCCTCTTTATAACGCATCGTCCGGCTGGAGTTCGTTTAAGCTACAAATCAGACAGATTCGCGCTTCGCTCGTGGGCGATGATCGGAGCGGTCTCGATATGGATCGCGGCTCCGCTTTCCTGCTAATGAGTCGCTCGTATATAAGGTGAATCACGAGGCGGCCGCAATACTTCGGGAGCCGGTCGTAAAAGTCATCTTTAGCAAAAAGATTGCCACAAACACGCACGTCCGGTTCTTGATATGCATGAAAAGTATTATTTTTTGGCTGACAAAGTGTAAAAAGTTACGAACATAAAATCGCGTAGAAAAATAGAATAGTAGATAAAATTTATTAAATTTTATTTGATAATGTATATTATAAGTATTTTATTTTTTACAATTATATTAGGTGTTGGAATTAATTCGTAGCGTTTTTTAATGAAAGAATGTTATTTATTTCACATAAGCATTAAAAAATACATTAATGAAAGTACTTCCCATCACTTGTAAAACGCTACGAATTAATTCCAACACCTAATATATAAGATTGTTCTTAAATAATCTTATAATTACATTTTTTAAAGTAAGTATCTTATATATTTTAACTGTTAATAAATGCAATACTTTTCCAGTTTTTTACTGCATACGGTGGGTCATTCATGTTAATTTTCATCATCTTAACAAATATACAAAAATTATTAAGTGACTTTTACATATATCTTAACATCTTTAGAACGTATTCATAAGATTTAAAAAAAAATTGTATATAAATGTTATAAATAATTATTTGGTACTCCTAGTTTTTCGAAGAAAAGAAATGTGCAAGTCACGAATGACTCAATTGTGTATGCTAATAATTTAAATAAGTATGCAATACTTATTGACGCACAAAAAATGTATATTTTATAGTTTAAATATTAACAGTGTTCGAATTTTATAATTTTGCTGACTCTCTGATAAAAATTGATCGATTAACTAATTCGATAATCGGATCCGCGACTTTCCAGAAAAGGTATGTAGACCTTCTATGGAAGGTTGCGCCTGAATGCGGCATGCAAGATATCTTCTGGTAGAACACGACTTGTATTCCTATTATCCAAGTTGCCTTGAACTTGATTCGGTCGTCGGCACATGCCGACGACATTCTAAAGACGATGGACAAATTCAGCGAGAGCAACCGATTCATCGATTGATTCGAGGAAGGTTTTGCCGATCGCAAAAAGTTGTCTTAAAGGAAACTGAATGAACTATCTATCACGACTAAAGCACGCATTAATAATTGCCGTAACAATGGTCAAAGTAAAAATTAAAAAATAAAAAAAATCTTTTCAACCGGCGAAATTTGATAGAAAGCTATAGAATTAACTCTTCGTTTATTACTTTATTTGGTAAAACTTTACACAACTAGCTCCAAATGACTTACGAGTGATCTTGACCCTTAAAGAGGACCTTTTCCGTCGCTTATTATTTATTAAAAAGTTATTAATGAAAATGTTTTTATGAATAATACGACTTCCACGCATAGCGAAATTTATTGACATAAACAAGATTAGTTTATTGTAATTTAATATACAGAGAAAAAAGATTATTTTGTTTCAAGAAATGCTGCCGGTTAATCGAATTGAATGTAGCGCTTCTTTGTTCATATTTGAATTTTCGGAAATTTTGCGCCGCCAATTTTAAACCATTGAACGCATTTAGTAAACTCATTAGTTGAAGCGCTCGCTGCTATTGGTATATTCTTCCAGAACTAAAAGTCTGATTGAATGTCTAGAATGATACACCAACAGGTGTTATTAGGGGCTGCGCACAATCAAAGAAATAGAAACCAGAGAATTTCAACATATCAGGAACCACGGACTGTGGAAATTGTGGAATACGCATGATGTTGGGTTGAATTCGAAACAGCCAATTTAAGCAAAAATCAAATCAAATGTGACCGCGCGACACAATAGCATCGTGGCAACATTTAACTTAATCTGTCGCAGATCATAGGAGGCACCATATTAAGTTTGTCATGTCGCATGTTTTAACATCCATCACGCTTCTATCATAGCTTTTATTTATTCATTAAACCGTAAAGCTATAATCGCATTATTGAGGTTACCGGTTGAGGAGTCTATTTTAGCCAATTACGAAGGAGGCCCATACTCGTTGATTCGGTATCCATCGTGATGATTCGGTAATGTTGAACCGTCAATCGACAACCCTAATTGGCAATCAGTGACATAAGTTGATTTGATCGGCGGATCACAGCGGACAGCGAGTGTAAGCGAGTGTAGACCTTCGTGTTGATCCGACTTTGCAATTCGTCAGATTCGTTCTCCGATGTTCCGATTGCTCCGATATTCGTCATGCGCGTTAAAATTCCGTGTGCCGCTCGTGTCCAAACAATCTCGCCTGCTCTTCAGATACCTATGTTTCTTCGCAAAAGCGAGTGCGCTTGTCACTCGTCATCGTCCTACATATACTTGACAAGAACATCGGTCCTGTTTATATCGTGATCAGCCGCGTCATCATATCGAATGTTTACATCAGTCATTAAATCGAAGTGGTTTGATACAATTGGCAATTTTGCAGCTCCCTTGGTGGACGATTTTATGACAATATTGGGAGACTGTCAGGAGTTCCTGATCAAATTTCATTGACGTGTCGACGTACTTATCCTCAACACGACGCCAAGTGACTTTATCACCTTTTTCTTTCTTTTACGAGGTATATAATACAAGATTTTTTTGAGATAATATTGCGCTGTTTTCTCATTATAAGAAGCATCGTGAGAGAGAGAGAGAGAGAGAGAGAGAGAGAGAGAGAGTGTTTCCACGTATATAACGTATCTGCTTCTCGAAGCTATCATATAAAATTATATATAATTTATGCAATTATATATGAGTAGTTCTTTTACATTTCTTCAAACTTGTTTTTTTCTAAAAGAAATAATGGGAAAATTGCCCTTGTAATTATTTTTTATGTTTTCTCATTATTTTTATTATATTGTGGCGAATTTATCGCCCCTACTCCAGTTGCAATTTAAATATAAACGACAATTTTTTCTTTTATGTAAAAGAATAGCACATACAAATCCCCCCCCCCCCCCTCCCCGCGCGAAGACTGTTCAGTTGTTCGAGGCAGAAAAAAAAGGACAACACAGAGAGACAAAAGTCACACAGTTATACCGACTAGCGTAAACAGCGGCAGCGAAAGCGAGAATAATCAACGCATTATAAACCGCATTTATTTATCAGAGCATGTGCCTAATAATCTGATCGAGCGCAAGATCATACATGCTGTAATCCGATAGGGAAATAAGATGCAACCGCTACTTTTCGCGAAAAAAAAACTGCTAAACTGCTAGATCGCGTATAATTTTAAACGAAGAATTCAAAACATTCTAGAACAGTCGAGAAACAAATTGTTTTCTCTGGGTATGAGGTCGAATAAGAAAATTGAGAGAGGTGAGTGACACTTCTCCTCTGGAGCTCGGAAATAAAGAAAATAAAGACTTTAATTTTTGAGTAACTGGAGTCGATCAATGGCACTGGCCACATTATAACTATAGTCCAAATTCCATAATATTACCAAAATATTAAACAGTAATTTCACAAAAAAAAACAGAATGTATGGATATATTTTATATTATGTATATGTTCTGAATGTTCATACTACATGTTTATGTATGTTTACATACATATTCGAGCATAAAAAATTTTTTAACGCAATACAATTTTTGTATTTTATTATTTAAATTTGCTACGTACATATAAATATATCGATAATATTAAATAAAGAAAAGTATTACAACCATCAATTAAAATTATTTTCTAATAATATGTTGTTATCAGTTAATTTTTTTTTAATCAATCGGCTTTTTTTTTTATCAATTATCTAAAGCTAAGTTTTCCTTTGTTTCAACTTTGTGTTATTTTCCTACTTGTACGTTTGTCATTTAAACATGATGGAATGAGGAAATAAGAGACAAAGCATACTAGATGTTTTTATTTTGTGCAGTTAGAATATAAATGGAAATTGAAGGAAAACTTGACTTGAAATAAAGAAATTTGAAATAGACAAAACCTAGCTTGAGACTAGAGAAAATATTTTGTCTTAATAATAATAAACTGTGGAAACTTAATTTCATAATCCATGTAAGAGTTTATATACTATTTTGTTACTTATTGTTATTTATATATAGAGCACAGCGGAACTATATTTCGTCCGTTTCTCATGATATTGTTTATGTTTCTGAGCAGCGTATACTGAACATTTAAAAATCATACTTGTGTTCTTAAGAAGTCATGATTATATGAGGTAGTTATAAGTACTACTGCAAAAAGATATTGTTTGTTGCCGTTAATTTTCTATTACAAAACATTAAGAGGTCGAAAATAACGGAATAGCTCCGCTCTAGTTAGAATATTTTTCAGCGTCATTGATGCATAGCGATATAATAGATTAACAAATTCATGCATTCTTGAAATTTTTATTTGCATTTTCTTCATGTTTAGAAATCAAATTTCTGAATTTATTGCTCCGGTGACCAATATGTCGACTGAACGTGTGGAAAAGCGATGTGATGATATAATAAAATCACAAAATGATGATCGATTATATAGAGGTTTAGTACTTACTAATAAAATGAAAGTTATTTTAATAAGTGATCCAACAACTGATAAAAGTGCTGCTGCAATGGACATTAATGTTGGTAATTATATTATTTTGCTATTTTGTATATTTCTAGCAATTTTCATAAGAACATTTTTACAAAATCATTTGCACATATTATAAATTATAACAAATACAGGCTGCGGTCGATTTGGACGCTCACGCGCTTTAAGTGCTTGTAATCATCATTCTGTCTTTAGATGTTTTGTCTTTACTCGTTCGTTAGACATAAAATAAAAATAGAAGTATTGAAAAGCGCTGAAAGCCAAATCGATCGCAGCCACATTGAGAAAACCGAACCTCTGCATTCCGTACGATTGTCCTAAGCCTTTAGGCGAGTCAATATTCTGACTTTTTTTTGTCGTCTATGTATATTTTTCTCAACCACTTTATATTGTTAACATTTTTTACTGAATTTAGTTGTATTTTATAATGTAATGGAACTAACATTTACTATTTTTATTAATAATTGTCAAATTATTAGTTTCAAAGTTTAGAGATAAAATATATGTTACAGGCTCTATGTGTGATCCAGATGATCTACCTGGATTAGCGCATTTTTGTGAACATATGTTGTTCCTAGGAACGAAAAAATACCCTCAACAGAATGATTACAATAAATTTCTGTCACAGAATGGTGGTATGAGTAAGGCAATAACACATTTAGATCACACCATCTATTATTTCGATGTAAGTTTCGAGAAATTAAAAGGCGCTTTAGATCGTTTTGCTCAATTTTTCTTGACGCCTCTCTTTACGGAGAATTTGATTGAGCTAGAACTAAATGCCATAAATTCAGAACACGAGAAAAATTTAGCGGATGATTCGCAGCGAGTTAATCATTTAATAAAGTCATCTGCGAACTCACATCATCCGTTTTCAAAATTCTCCACAGGAAATAGAGAATCATTAGACACAATACCGAAACAAAAGGGTATTAATGTTCGAAATAAACTATTAGAGTTTTATGAAAAATATTATTCTGCAAACATTATGTCACTGTCTGTTCTTGGCAAAGGTACGACGATAATTTATTGAATCTATTTATGTTTACAACATCTGAAAACATTTACTATATATTATATTAACAAATAAATTTTCTATTTAGAGAGTTTAGATGAACTCGAAAATATGGTAGTGGATCTATTTTGTGAGGTACGAAATAAGGAAATTCAAGTTCCAACATGGCCTGAACATCCATTTAAGGATGAACATTTTCGCACTATGTGGTACATTGTTCCGAAAACGTATATAAGAAGTTTAAACATTGAGTTTCCTTTACCAGACATGCATCGACAGTCTTCGGTAATATAATAAATTTTTCTTTTAACTTTGATACTTTAAATGAATATTATATCTTATTGTTAGTTCTTTTTTAAGTATTATTACAAAAAAAAACACTAAAACGAGATTAGTTATTTTCCATAATTTTTTGGTTGAATACGAATCCGCTTTTTAAATTGTTCTCATTATAATTTTAAGAAATTGACAGTTAAAGTAGCAAAAAAGAACTATTTTTAGATATTTTGTTATATTATAACTACGATATGTGATGTGCTAGTATAATTTCAAAATCGGATTCGTGTTTAGTTCTAACGGGAATGAGCTGCTTCGTTTCACGCGTGCATGCGTGCGTGATGTGTGTGCGTGCGTGTTGTATACGTATGTATTTTTTTTACATTTATTGTTAATTTGTTAATATAGCCTGAACATTACGTTTCTTATTTGCTTCAACATGAAAGAAAAGGTTCATTATTATCAGTTTTGAGAGCTAAGAAATGGGGTAACTACCTAAAATCCACACAACGTGCACAATCCGCCAGAGGTTTCAGTATTTTCAATATTTTTATCGATTTAACCAAAAAAGGTATTAAGCATATCGAAGATATTATTCTACTAGTGTTTCAGTATATCAATATGCTTAAGTTGGAAGAACCAAGCAAATGGATTTACGATGTAATTGACAAAATAAATTATAATTTTATGTAGAATGTTCGAAAATTATGCTATCGTAATTTACCAGACATTTTACTTCAATATCGTATATTAAATATGAAATAATAAGTATTTTGTACATTTGCAGGAATATAGAGATATTGACAATATAAAGTTTTATTTTAAAGAAAAGTCTTCGCCTCGTACTCATGTTAAATTTACGGTTCGAGCATTGCAAGAATTTCCCATGAATGAAATTTTGTGCGCGTGTGTTAATCCTGAATGGCGGCCGGACTTAATAAAAAAAATAATAGGATATTTGACCCCACAAAATGTTAGGATTTACATAACTGCAAAAGAATATGAAAATATAGCTGATGAAATTGAAAGTTGGTATGGCACTAAGTATAAGAAAGTGAAGGTATCCAAGAAAATAATGGACATGTGGAACTCCCCTGGTTTTAACGACGACCTGAAATTGCCTCCCAAGAATGAATTTATAGCAACTATATTTGATATCAAGCCACAAATTAACGTAATTAAAAATATTATTTTTCGTAATATTAATTCTTGATCACATTGTGAATCTCCATGAAGCGTAAACTATAATCGTGAAATTTGATATGAAATAGAATTTAATTAATGTTAGAGTAACTTAAAATAAATTCTAAAATAAATTTTTTTTTGTATAGTTTTGATGTAATAATCATGTGTGAAGTGTGTTTGAATATATATTTCTGTACTGATTTTACAGAAGTATATGCTGATATTCAGTTTACACAACAGAAGATTAGTTTACACAATAGAAAGCTAAGAGATCGTGATATAAATAAAATAAGATGCAATAATTTTGGCTTTGACTTGTTTTTGTACATGAAATGGTCCTTTGATCTATTTTATGCTATCTCATTATGTATATATTTGCATATCATTGCATATACTAACAAGTGAAATTTTACAGGTTGTAAAGTTTCCCATTATTTTGAAGGATACATCATTTGTAAAACTTTGGTATAAAAAGGACGATGAATTTCTTGTGCCTAAAGCAAAAATGATCTTCGATTTTTTTATGTATGTATCAAATGATTGTGAAAGATATGTTGCTGCTCTAATCGAATGTATAATACTGAAATATTTTTAAATGTAATTTTGAAATATTCTGGCAACTTAAATGATTTTTACTATTAATTCACAATATGATGATATTAGTAGATATTAATGTGCATCCCAAATAATATTAATAAGTTGGTTATTACTGAAACTATTTAAAAAAAATAAACTTAATTTTGCAATTATTCTTAAAATATTGTTATTTAAAGATGAGAATGAAATATAATATAATCTCTTATAACAAAAAAATATTTTCTATAATTATGCACAATGTTTGTTTTGTCTTTAATTTATAGCCCATTTGCCCATGTGGATCCCCTTAGTTGCAATTTCACTTATATGTTTATTAATCTGTTTCGTGAATCTCTTAACGAATATACATATGCTGCTAATTTAGCTGGTTTACAATGGGAACTTAACAGTTTTAAATATGGAATAACAGTGAGTACATATATAATAATAATAAAATATAATAATATAATATGTATATTATTTAAATAAATTTGAATATTTATTCGAATAAATTATTGTTCAATTTGTTATTAACATAATAATGTTAAAACAAATGCTATTTCACATATATACATAAATTGCTTATTCATAAATCGTTTATTTCTAATCTGTTATTCGTAAAATGTGCTCAATTCTATTCCTATGTAATAATGTTTATCAACTGTTTTATAAAAATATATTCATAATTTAAAAGAAATATCAATTCTTTTTATAGCTCTCTATAGATGGTTATGATGACAAACAACATGTGCTGTTAGAAAAAATCATGGATCGAATGATAAATTTTGAAGTTGATCCGAAGAGATTTGAAATCCTAAAGAAAAAAGTACGTACAATAAATATAATCAATATTTTTAATTTAATTAAGTAACATATTTATGTAAAATTATTACAGTATATCTGGAAATTGACATCTGAAGGTTTAACTTTTAAACTGCTTCATGAACATGCTATCAATTATCTTGTAAACCTATTAGAAGGGCAACAATGGCTCCGGGAAGAATTACTGGAAGCTACTACCTGTAAGCATATAAGAGAACTTGTGCTTTTTGTAAAAAAATTTTTTTTCTCGCTCTTTTCTACATTTCTTTTAGTTCTTAGCATAATTATGTATTAATGACATAATTAATATTTCTAATTTATTTATGATTATATTATTTATTCTATGATAGATTTAGATGTCAGGGGATTCAAGCGACATATATTACAGCTATTCAATAAGATGCACATCCAGTGCTTAATATATGGTAATGTGACTGAAATGGAAGCTATAGATATACTTGAACTAATTGAGTTTAAGTTGATGACTGGAGTGCCCAACATAATACCCTTGTTAGAACAGAAATTAGAATTGTCCCGTGAAATTAAACTAGAAAATGGTAAAAACATATAACATGATCAAATTTCATTTATGATAATTTCAAAAAATTAATATGCTTATGCCGATTGCACTAACGTTACTTCAATTTTTTCGCGGAATAAAAAGGAGATCGAACTCAAAAATTTAAAGTGACCTTAAAATACGGCTTCGAAAAATGTACATCGAGAATATTAAAGGAAAAGTTGAAAATATTGTCTAAACTACATGATAATATGCACGGATTACACATATACATATATTTTATTTTTGTTCCGGAAATTCAAATTTATATAAAATGTTATTCTATTTGATTAAAATGTGAATAGATCAATAAGCTCAATATTTCAAATACCTGATACACGAACTGCTGATAAAATCTTCTAGTTCACAATTTTCTAGTTCTAGTTTTCTCCGACAGATTTACTCGGATCTGTTCTTCCATAAAATGATTTGAAGCTTGAATCGACCAACTTTTTCACGACCGATTGCTTGAATTTGGTCTCCTTTCTACTCCATGGATTTTTTTAAAGCCGAGAGAGAAGTAGAGAGGAACAGAGTTTTAAGTTCCTTATTTAGAGTTAAAGTAACATTAGTACAATTGGCCGTTAAAGAATTTCAACATAAAAAATTTTATTATTTCTATTTTCTAATAGTTTCATCAAATGCTAGGTTATTGTAGAAAAAATTTAAAAATATGAAAATGAACAACCTAATCTATTTTAACATAAAAAAGAAATATGTGAAAGTAACAGAAAATTATTTGTTATTGAAGTCATTTTTTTATTTATAATAAAATTTTAATTTTAAAAATTAGATAATATCTTAAGTTAATATTGTTTATGATGTAGTATGCAACAATTTGTAACAATATGTAATATGTGTTTACAGGTTGCCACTTTCTGTTTGAAGTAAAAAATGATTTATATAAAAGTTCTTGTACAATAGTATATTATCCAACTGGTTTACAATCAATAGAATCGAATATGCTCTTAGAGCTCTTAGCACAAATTATTGCGGAACCTTGCTTTAATACTTTAAAAACTAAGGAACAATTAGATTATATAGTATTAAGTGATATACATAGATCGAATAAAGCACAAGGCTTGCGAATCATTGTACAAAGTGATAAACACCCGCAATATGTCGAAAAACGAATCAATTTATTTTTACACTCCATGTTGGTAAGTATAATAATATCTTATATGATAAAAGATAGTATGTTGGAATCCACTTATGTTCTTGTTAACCGTTTATGTTGAATTTTTTAACATATTCGAGTGTTAATTTAACATAATGATTATGTTATTTAAAAAATTTGTGTTAAATTGATATTCAATGTTTTTTAGTACCAAAATAATTTATGAGATAATTTATGAATAAGTGAAAAAGCAATATAAAAACAAACATGTGTTTTAAAACGTAAATCCCAAGATTGAAATACTTGTTAATTTAATATATTATAAATGTCAATTATATTTAAAAAAATATGCTTTTGTTTACAAATTGTGTCAGTATTAAGTTTATAAGTAAATTTTTTGTGATCGTTTTTTAATGGATAATATCCGTGTTATTTTCTAACATATTCATCTTATGTTAAATAGTCATAAAGATTCTGAGTGACTGTTTGGGACATATAACAAGTATTATATTTGATAATCTATTTGATTCATAAATTTCCCAACAGTGCAAAATAATAGTAAAAGTACATATTAATGCATTGATTAATGGAACTACATTTTCTTTTCTTAAATTTATCACATAATATCTTAATAATATTATAATCAATTATATTACTTTTTTTTTATGTGATAATACAAGGCTGTATTTTTATTAAAGTTAATATTACTAATTACATTCCAGAATCACATATCTACTATGACAGAAGAGCAATTTGAAGAAAATAAGAAAGCTTTAGCTGTACGTTTGGGAAAACCAAACAGGTTGTCTGCAAGGTGTATTTTATACTGGAATGAGATTATAAACCAACAATGTAACTTCGATCGAGTCAATATTGAAGCGGCTTACTTAAAGACGATATCACAGCAGCAATTACTTAATTTCTTTAAAGTAATCAATTTATTCTTATATACAAAATATGTTATTTAATGTTATTCCGAAAGGAAAATGTTTTATCGTAAAAATAGAAAATATAAAATATTTTTTTTATGAGATATAATTTTTGAGAGAAGAGTAACTTTAGTAGTTGAAAAATTATAATAATATAATACATCTATCATATAAAATCTAGGAAAATGTACATAGTAAGGATCGATGTAAATTGTCGGTACATCTGATATCCACGGTGTCATCGAAAAAGAGCTCACCTGAGAACACAATTGAAAAAACTGTCGATTTATCAACTGATGAAGAAGTTAAGAAAATTGACAATATTTTATCATTTAGAAATAGTCAATTTTTGTGTCCTCTAATTAATCCGTTTGAAGACTATTTTCTCAGGAAACGTTCTAAGTTATAAAAAACGTGACAAGGTAATAGTGAATTATGCGAATGAATTTACTTACATATAATTTTAGAAAAAATTTGACGCATTATTTTAGAAAAATTAATAAATCATTTGCCGTATTTAAGATGATTCTTAAATAAACTTACACAGCACCGAGTTTTCAGAAATATCTCAGAAATAATTTTCTACAATGGAAATTCAACAAAAAAAAAAAAGAATTCAAAATCAGAGCAATTGAGAGTTGGAGTGGTAATTAGTACGCAAAATTAATTCTTGAACTCTTCCCAAATAATCTTTGAACATTTCGATTCTCTTTAGAGTCTTCTTCAGAAATACAAGCATAAAAAACCGCAATAATCACTCGGTAACATCCGGAACAATTGGTCGAATTAATTGGTATGGTAAATTTTATTTCTTCCCCTTACGGTTACACAAACAGAACATGAAATTAAAGAACTTTATTGGCATAAAGTTTATCCAAGGTAATATTAAATCTGGTTATATAAGCATTTCTAGTAGATTCCTAAATAAAAATGTATATATATGGTTGGATTCCTAGATAAAAATGTTGTCTTTTTACATCCGTAATTCCAAATACGTTAGGTATTGCAAGAAAATTACAACACATAAAGTTTGCTGATTTTTATCAGGAAATAACATAATCCGGTTTATGTAAATATTTTTGTGTTTAAATTAGTGACAACTTCTTATGGATTTCCCATTAAAAGACGGATCTGTAATTGCATGAAAATTTATACTCAATTGAAAACAGAAAATAAACGGATTTATCCTGAATTATCTGGAATTTTAAATATGCATCGGACAAAATAGGATTTACAGACAAGAGTTGACATGACACTTATCTGGAACTCCAAATGTATTTTAGATATAATAGGATTTCCAATGGAAGAAATTACATTTAACCAGATGTCTAAATTCATATACGACATGCTTAGAATTTTTAGCAGGGAAATGATTGATACAATTTAAATAATAAGTATGACATGTCAATCATTGAAGTAAATATTAAAAGAAGGAGCAAACGTCGATATATAAATTGTTACAAGGAATTACATGAATCAACTAAATAAAATAAAATATTTTATGTTTTTCTGTAATTAAGTGTGATGTAAACCTTCAGTGTCTCTCTGAATGCAAATTGAGACTGTTTTCTTGCATAAAGATATGAAGACATTCTGATATAAGTCGCTTATTAAGAAAACGTTCTTCATTGACTACGACATTTTCCCAATCGAAGTCATTTTCAAAATTAATTTCATGTTCTGTAATCCTAAGGGGAAGAAATAAAATTTACTATATTAAGTAATTCGATGTTCTGGATGATTATTAGTAAATATTGCGGTTTTTTATGCTTGTATTTCTGAAGGGGACTCTAAAGAGATTCGAAACATTCAAAGATTATTGGAATAAAGATTCAAGAATTAATTACCACGCCGACTCTCAATCGCTCTAATTTTGGATTCTTTTTTTGATCTATGAAGTATTTCATATTTTACAATTTTTATGAAAAGTAAAACATTTCATAAAATATTTTTACATTACTAAAACAGCTCTGAAATAACAAAATGTCGGTGATTCTTGCATATGAAATCTTGTTGGAAAGTTGTTGAACAATTACAGAAAGAATCTGCAATTTTTTGAAATATTATCAAAAAGATTTTTCTAGTATTTAGCTATTTCTAGTACTTAAAAAAATGATATTTAAATATATGTATATTTAATTGTGTTTATCTAAATAATATTTAAATTTACTATGTTGGCATAATAAATTTAAGTATTGTTAAGTAACAATTAAACATTTATGAAATTGAGCACATGCATTGAATTTATATATCATAAACACATCCCAAATTACACAATTAAAGAATTCTGAGCTCTTTTTTAAATGCAACAAGAATTCTTTTCAGAAAGACAATTTTTGATAGTAAATTCATTGCATGAATACACATTTATTTAAATAAATGTTTAAAAGAAGAAATATATAAAAACTGTGTATACATATAAATATATATACATTATTTACACGTGCACATGCGCGCATGCGCGTATAGTCTTTATATTTCTAGTTTTAAAAATAATTAATTTAGTGTATTCTAAAATAAAAAATTAATTAATTAGATAAAAATAACTAGATGTTCAACAAAATTTCAACATCAAAGAGTTTACCATTTATTATTGAAAATTATTTTTAGATAATAAAATTTAGAAAATTCGCTGCTATAACATATAAATGATTTATACATAAACTGTGTATAATTTAATGTAAAATTACTTATATTGAAATTTTTATAAATTAAATATAGCACATATTTCTTGAATCATATTATTTTCCATTTCCTTTTATATTTTTTGTGTAATATATAATCTACAAACATATACATTTTTTTATCTCTTGCATGGAATATAAGATCTCTAATGAAGTTTCTGTAACAATGGATTTTTTCCGGAATTAAATTGTTAGCTTAATGTTCAATTTCCAAGCTGGGGGATCCATGTACAGGGTGGGGCAATAACTCTGTCCAATATTTCAGAATATTTCCGCTATTTTTAGAAATACAAAATAATATAATTATTGAAGTTATATAGCATTTCTTTTTCAAAATCGTCTCTCTCTTCGACTTTATTCGTTTCACTACTCCCATTAGTATCATACTCTTAGTCATGTCACTGCTCTCATTTCGTTATTTTTGCATATAAGCTTATGTTTTGCTCTGATAAACTAATTTTCGATGATTTTTTGGATCTCTGCTTTTGATTACTCAGCATTTTTTTATCCTAACTTCTATAAAATAAATTTATTTTTTAAACATGTTAGTATACTAATGTACATATGTGTACGTACGTAATATTTTTTTATACTTTCCAAATATTAATATTATTGGTGCTAAATATTTATTTTAAGTGACACCTCCCCGATTTCCATGTTCTTTAGATATGTTGTGAGGGAGAGTGTTCTGAGTGATTCCCCGCAAGAATTAAATTGGGGTCGGCATTGGATTAGGAGATATAATAAATTAAAATTCTATAATATGTAGAGTAACATTGATGTAACATTGATATAAGAGGTATATTACGAATAGTAAAATTTGTATATGCCGTACTAATCTCTTAACCTTCCGAGGACCGGCATGTTTTTGATCGACTTTTTAATTTTAGGGAGAACTTTTTTGTTAATGTCATGGGGTTGAGTGACAAAAACGATATATCACAAAAAACGATATATCAGAAGGGAATAGTTGCATAGTCCTTTTCTTAGCAAGATTTAAACATGACTGTGTTGGTCTTCTTCTTTAATTGATTTTTATACACACACACACACACATATATATATATATATATATGTGTATATGTATATGTATATGTATACATATATTTATCTACATATACACATACATATGTAAATCTATCAATTAAGAAAATATATGTGTATATGTGTATGTTCGCGCACACATTCATGAATTCTTTTTTTAAGCAGCATACAGATTCATTTATTTATATAAATAAATAATATTAATAGTTATGCAAGGGAATACAATAATAAGTAAATAAATCTTTTATATTTGAATCTTGTTTCTTTTTATCTTTTTTACAAACTTATATATTCATTATATACAAACTATAAACTACATATATCGTTTTCAGTTTCTTTTTTTTAACATTAAATTTAACATTTAATTTAAAAGAATAATAATTGTTCCTTTTTCATAGCATATTAAGTTTTAGGGTGAAAGAATTATATTTGCAATTATATCAGATCAATGAAGATTTACATACCTTTTTCCTTTTTTGTTAATTATTATTCTTTATTTAAGAAAACAACTATAAAAAATTAACTTTTGATTAATTGATGACTTTTGATAGTTGCATGATTTGTGATTAAATTATTTTGAATAGGAAAATATTAAACATATAAAACCTCTACACAGAATATCCCAAAATTCGTGACTCAAAATAATATAGTAAGATAGTTCTCGAAAAATTAAATAAAAATATTATTTGTTTTTTTTATTTAAAGCAGTATTTTTTGAGATGATAAAGGTTTATAAATATGACCATTACAGATTAAGACTACGATCTATTTGATGCTACAAATGCTTCGAAGTATTTGATTCCAATCAAAAAATGCTTCCAAGCATTTGTAGTATTAAATGAATCCACTCTATGTATTTTAGATGGCCGCATGTCTATGTCTCGCATGTGCGGTATTATTAGTGGTGAGCGCGTCCTTCAGCGTGTTCACTTATACCCATCGCCTAAATTATATAATTGGCCATATTTAAATATCTTAAAAAATATTGCTTAAAATAAAAATTTACGAATAACTATTTTTTACTTATTATATAATTTTTCGAAAAATTTTTTCTATAGTATTTCGAGTCGCGAATTTTGAGACATCCTATATAATGATATTTATAAATTATTATCACTTAATATTTTGTGTGATAATTAATAATAATTTATACCTGAATTTTTTTCTCGTTTGCGCTTCTTATTGGAGATTTTCAACGATTTTGGATTTCTCTCTGAATCTGTTTATTGATTTTTATTCAATGCTTTTGGCATGGAAGAAACAGTATTATTAGAATTCAATACATCTGATTTTCTCGAATCTTGTAACAATTTTTCTCATACGGTAATAGTATTGATATTTTTAATATTTACTACAAAATAAAATATAACGATTTATAGAAAATTTCTCACATTTATAATGAAAGATATTATATCAAATAAAAAATAAAATATGGTGTGCTCTTAAAATAATAATTTTTTTATATTTTGTATGTTACAATATCTTATTTTTACACATGTATATTATTTCTATTAAGGGGAATTTAATTAGAGAGGATTTTTTTGTTTTTTCTTCTCCAGAAGATGCTTTCTCTTCTTTGTTAATTTTTTCTGTTAAAATGTCATTAAATCATGGATCCTTTACAATCTTCCATCCGAGTGATCTTGATCTTAAGAAGATCAAGGTCATTGACTTTCTCTGTCGCTCGTTAT